AGATACAAGACGACATTCACTAATAATTCCGAATACTTATAATCAGAAATAGGCAGCTGAAGTTTCTGGGACGCATAACGAGGAATGAGAGCCTGGAGAATATGATACTCACGGGTCGAATAGACAGAAAGAGAGACAAGGGAAAGCAATGCGTGACATACCTGGCGGGCTTAAGCAAATGGATGACAGAACATGGTCTACACGAGGAAGCAGAGGGAAGGAATTTGTTGAGGGCTGCAAGGGATAGAGGGAGATGGAGAGAGATGATCGCCTACGTCCTGAAATAAAAGAATTCCTGAATAAAAGTAAATGTTTCGAGTGGCAGTAAAATGGAAAGTTATTACTCACGCTCTCGAAATAACTTATGGGTTGGTCAACTGTTTTTTTTTTTTTTTTTTTCATCGGCTCCGTTGGTGTAGTTTAATATAAACGACTTCTAAAATGTTCAAATGGTCAGCGGGCCAAGCTCTATGTATGATAGTGAACGAATATATATATATATATATATATATATATAGAGAGAGAGAGAGAGAGAGAGAGATATTTACTTGACGCCCCACTGAGTCATGATGTCACACAAGGTCGGTTTTAACGTGGGAAACCCGAGTGTTTCCATTCGGGCCATTGGTCTAACCTGGTCTTAACTGGTCATAGCTTGTCCAAGCTGGTCAGAGCTGGTCTAAGCTAGTCACAGCTGGTCTTGGCTTGTCATATCTGGTCCAGGTCCGTGCCGGTCCAACCTAGACATAACCGTGATACCCCCCCCCACCAGCACATGGCCGGAACACAAGTGCCAGGTAAGAGAGAGAGAGAGAAAGAGAGAGAGAGAGACAGAGAAAGAGAGAGAGAGAGAGACAGAGAAAGAGAGAGAAAGAGATCATTTTTCATGTCAAAATTGCGGTCAGCCTCCTTAGGGTAGACAGAACATATATATATATATATATATATATATATATATAGTGTAACCCGGATATAAGAGAGTTGTTGGGACCGGAGAAGTCTCTTATATCCGGGTTTCTCTTATATCCGGGTTTGGTCTATATGTATACATTAACACATGCTCTAATTTGGGACCAGAGAAAATCTCTCTTATATCCGGGTTTCTCTTATATCCGGGTCTCTTATATCCGGGTTACACTGTATATATATAACCAAGCGAGTGGTCAGTGAGTTAATGACTTTTTAATCAGTTAGTGAAGTGAGTTCGCCATTAATTACATTAACTTTATTGGTTTATTCTTTGGATGACTATTTTACAATATTAATTAAGCTGTATTATCTAATAATTTAAAAAATGTTCGATCTGCAGTAAAAAAAAAAAAATTCTGAAATCTTCTAAGACATTGCTCTAATTATTGGACCAATGGTCCATGTCACGTAAAGAGAAAAAAACACTTACAATAATAGAAATTATGACTTACTACAATATTCAAAAATCTAACGGCGCGTTACTGCACGTTGAAAAAAATTCTTAACTGATAATAATAGCACACTTTTGAATAAAACAACTTTCGACAAATATCACAGTCATATTCGTATTAGAATTTGACCCAAAATTACCTGAAATTGAGAAAAAAATAACAACTATGCCTGAGGATGGTAAATGTTTTTACCGAAAATACTTGCAAGCAATATAGACCGAACATCTAATCCATTGTACAATTAATAAAAACAAGGATCGTGTCGTTCAGCGAGTAATCAATGAGTTAATACCTTCTTAATCTGTTAGTGAAGTGAGTTCGCCATTAATTACATTATATTGATTTATTCTTTGAATGATTATTTTACAATATTAAATAAGCTGCAATTATATATATATATATATATATATATATATATATATATATATATATATATATATATATATATAATAATTTAAATATGGCTTTGAAAATGACGGAACGCCTTTTAAAGGGAATATTTTCGTCCAACACCTATTCATTTTGATTATTGTCGTTCCAATGAAACTTTCAAAAAAGTCTTGGACGAAAAAGATCTCTTTAAAAGAATGCGTTCCGACATTATCAAAGATATATATACAGGGTATCCCCAAACTGTTGACACATAGTCAAGAATGCATATTTTCAAGAACTGAAATAAAAATTCCCAGCATCCGTCATTCGTGTGCTTGTGCAGCCGTACCAACATAGTAAATTTAGCCCTAAAGGATGTGTATGTATGTGTGTGTATCTGTATGTGATTGTATGAAGCTATATATATTTATGGGTGTGCTTATCAATCTGAAACCATCGTGCAAGAATTATGTTGTCGCCATTCTTGTCGATGGTGATCGCGGACGGGGGGAAATCAAAAGCGACACGTAAAGAAAGACTGATGCCGTCCAGTTATCATTAACAATTCACGGCTGTAAAGCCATCAATACACATTAGCCATTCGAAAAGATATCGATTCTTTGATTCTTGAGCGTAGAATTATTAATGGCTTTATCGATTCGAAATTGTGGATTATTCCGCCATCTTTATCCGCCATTTTGGCAACATAATCTGACCGCTATTGTCTTTCCGTAAAACGCAGTCGATAAATTTTTAAAATCCTCCATTGTTAGTTGAAGAAGCATTTTCTTTAGTTTAATGAATTCATTAGCAGCCGGAGTCATTGTTGAATATTCTTATTGCTTGCTTGAATGTTTTCTTTTTTTCTTTTTTTTTCTTTTTTTGTTCTTCGCAAGAGAATTGATATCCAAACAAACCTCTTAATTGAACATGCGGGAGGAACTGTGAAAGGAAAAAAAAAAGCAAACATATATTAAACTGATGGCGACAGACGATACAATTTACAGCCATTCATTCCGATAGAGTAATTGTTAAAATAGCTTCTTCATATAAATGACGTTTAAACCCTGAAATGACACTGTCAAGCGGTTTATAAATTTTCAAATAGATTAGAAAACGTCATACGAAATAGAATTCATAGAAAGTGGAAAACACTTAAGCATTTTTGCTAATTGAAAAATCATTTTTCATTTTTATAAATATTAAGAACAAACTATAAAATGTTCCTTGTGATTTGAGAGTGTAGCAGAGTGGTTAGGGCAATGGTTCGAAAATCTTTGTCTCTGGGCCGCATTTTCGGAATTAAAATTTGCTTGCGACTCACTAAATTTTATGCCATAAAACGTACATTTAAAAATTAAACAAAACAGAGTTTTTAAGGGAGATAAAAGAAGTCAGAACATTATCATTGATAACACTTTCCTCCAGTTTGCGGACCCTAGAGACAATATTCTTAATACTTGATATAATGCAAAAAAATATCACAATAATAAAATCAGTCAATAATTATTTATAACTCTTTATACTGGGACTAATGCATACAATTATCACTGATAACTCTCTCCTCTAATTTGCTGACCCTAGTTACTATATTCTTAATACTTGATATAATGTAAAAAATATCGGAGTAATAAAATCAGTCAATAATTATATATAACTATTTATACTGGAAGTAATGTGTTGACCATGTTTGCCGTAGTCTTTGAATATAGAAATCAGTACATTAAGTAACGTGTTCAATGGAACAACGCCAATATCACTAGTAGCAGCTGTTAAGTGATTCTTTAAGTCTTCGATATCAGAGGTTGGCAGTGAAGATATTTTTGGAGAAAAAACAAAATGGCTGCCTTTATACACGTCGGATTGAATATTTTGAGCTTTCTGATTGGTTAACCCTTCTCTTGGTGGACTATAAAATGAGTCGGCTCATTTTGGTTGGCTCACTAGCACATATAAATATTTTAAAAAAATGTAACATAATGCATGCAATTATCATTGATAACTCTCTCATCCAATTTGCCGACCCTAGTTACTATATTCTTAATACTTGATATAATGCAAAAAAATTCACAGTAATAAAATCAGTCAATAATTCAGAGTCTGTCTATATTTCTGAGATGAGGCATCATGTACAGTATCTACATTAGTCGGACTATTGTCCTCATCTTTGTCGCCATATTTGTCACAAATATGTTAAATAAATTGAAAGATCAGAAGGTGAGGCACAAGGTCCATCACCCACCAGTGAAAGCAGTAGTCAACATCAGCCAATATCAGCTGAGTGCCTCTGAGGAGTCAGTGTTGAATAAGGGTCTCAACTTCGCCACAACCATCAGGCGGGTGCCATACTTGGACATCATTGCCAGAGTAGAGGAGGTGGCCTTGCACATCCCTTAGGCTCAGGTGGATGAAATGAGATGGAAAGTGAGACAGGCCTTGGAGAGAGCCAAGCTGCCCAGGTCTAACATAACAAAACTGGAGAGACTGGCGATTGAATCACTACAGAGGAACGACAACATCATCATACTACCGGCTGACAAAGGTAATGCAACTGTAGTGATGGACAAATCGGAGTATAAAAGAAAACTGGAAGACCTCATTAGCAATGGTAGCTACAGCATAGTGAAGAAAGACCCGACTATGAAAACGGAACGCAAACTGTCACAGATCCTAATCAAGAACGTGACAAATATGGCGACAAAGATGAAGACAATAGTCCGACTAATGTAGATACTGTACAGTCAATAATTATTTATAACTATTTATACTGGGACTAATGCATGCAATTACAAATAATCCATAATAATATTTTAAATTTTGAAATCGTATTTATTTTTGGCATATGAATTTTTTAAAAAATGTTTCTAAATCTTTGTCTTTCAATCATTCAGCCTCACAGGCTATCCTCTTACTTTCATCGTATGAGAAACACTGGGTTAAGATGTTTTAATTTTGATCAAGAGATACAGGTTTGAACATAATTAGGGTCGATTTGTCAGGAAGGTAAAGTTTGGATAATATCGGTTTTGTGAGGCAAAGGAAAGCGCTTGAAAACCCTACGGAGGTTTGACTCGAGACTTATGTGTGTAAAAACAGGTCGACAAAACTGTTCGAAAGACGTTGATCGTTGTGCTAGAACCGAACTCACAAACGCTCATGGCCCAGTATATGAGTGTTCCGTTTCGTGTCAGAGACTGCTACACCGACATGCTGGCCTGTCTCACCAAGAAATCTGACACTGGTGAATTCAAACTTCACATACTTGCAATGGCCTCATCGCCATTTTATCTTTTTGATTTTATATCTAAAACGTAAACAAAGTCATTAAATTAATGTCAGTATTCCACGCCCACGGGTCATAGCACTACGAGTTTGACACTCTCAGTTAGCCTATGCCTTTTTTGTTGTTGTCTGTAATATTAATCTACCAGCCACTGACCCCACCGGATTAATTGTCGGTCCTGGCCTTGCATCTCGGCTTCAGACGCTCTCCAACGGCCGCAACGTACCTTCACCGCTCATTTTCTAAAAAATATTTCCATGGTTATTGTTCGGAAGACTTCTCTGCCCTGTTACTTTCCCACGGCCTTAATTTAACTTCCCTGTGCCCTTTTCTATTGTGGGATCATGAATTCCACCCTTTTGCGTGTGTGTGTGTGCGCGCGCGCGGACTGCACCCCTTCCTGTCAAGTTCAGCTAGATATAGCAGTAAACGCTGATGTGAGGGAGGTTGCTGGCTAGCTACTCCTGATACCGTCTAAAATCAGAATTTGAATTTTTTCCCGCGCGTGTCCTGACGTCACAGACGAACAGCGTTTTCAAGTTAGTTGCGGCCTGATTATCAAGCTAGAAGAACAACTCATTTATTCCGTGCCCCTAACCCATACGCGGGCCGGAATATCTTATTCTTAACTAACCAAAACTTCAACGTGACGATATCACACTTTTCCAAGACTTTTCCTCGTCTTGATGCGAACAGCATGTTGAACTTTCCTCCATTTTCAGCTAGAAAATGTAGAGACTACGACACTGTCGTCAATATATTTTTCCAAGACCAAATTCTTCGTCTTGAAGTGAACATGTTTGAACCTACTTCCTTTTCTACGAGAATCTACGACACTGTCGTCACCACACTTTTCCAAGACCAAATTCCTCGTCTTGATGCGAACAACTTTTCCTCTTTTCACTACCAGAGTTCTACGACACTGTCGTCATCATACTTTTCCAAGACCAATTCCTCGTCTTGATGCGAACAACTCAGAATTTTCCCTCACTGAAGATTGATGAACTTTTCATACACCTCTTTTGTATTCTAACCTTTACGAACCAGTTTAAAAAAAGATAACATTACACAGACATTATTAAACCGCGCAGTGAGTATTTTTTCTTGTTGTGTATGCTTACATCTTTTGTAAAAGAAGACTACATTCTAGAACTTTCATTCTGAAGAAACTTTTCCCGTCGTAGCCATCTTGTTTTTTTTCGTTTTGCGCGGAACTTTAATATTCTATTAATTACTACTTAATACTAACTGCCTACAGGCTAAAAACAGATCTTACCTTTTCTGATAGTCTCCACTGTTGAGACAAGATTATTTGTTATCCAAATAAAATTTCATATATGTTTTCCTCCAGACTCATTTTGTCGTTTAATCCTGGCTATCTATATTTTACTATTTTTGTGCATGTGTTAAATGACCCCTTTTTCCTCACTAAAGATCACTCATTTAATATTCTTACTTTGTTTGTGGATTCGGTAGTCATAAGTAGTGTCTGGCACAAGGCCACCTTTTAATAAACCAGCACTGTATACTACCGGGTCTGCAACACTATAAATACTTTCATATAGGTTTGTTCTGATGAACTTTGATCTATGGTACCTAGACTTTATGACTCATCGCAGTACTCAATTAGCAGCACGGTATCAGCAATTTACAGTTCAAATTGCTAGATATAACCGTAAGTTCTACGCTAACAGTTCCTTCTATCGCACTTCTCGCCCGTGGAACTCTCTTACGTCTTCTTGCTTTCCAGCCAACTTCGATTTAACTGCAACGTCAATCATTATCTATCTTCTTGAATACTCTTCTTTTCTTTGCCCCTTAATGATTTTCCTATTTCTTATTCTTTTACACTCAATAACCGCTTGTGTCTTAGTGGCTTTATTGCCTTACTTGGAGTGAAATGATTAAATAATACAAATACTAAACTTTGAGATGGAAAATACCTATAAAATGTTAGCATTTACTATATTTGCCCTCGATTTCTTAATACCGTTTAAGGTTCCCGCGTTTTTTTTCCGTCTTTGATGTTCCAAATTTGTTTATATCGTGTAGGTAAACAACGTTCAATGTGTCGTGCTAGATCATTTTTCTCTCCAGAATCTATCTTACATATTTATAAGTCTACTATTTGTCCATGCCTTGAATATTGCTGCCACATATTGTCCGATGCCCCTGTCGTATATCTATAAAATCTGCAGAAAATCCAAAGAAGAATCTGCAATATTATTGGTACTGACCTGGCATCTCACCTTCAGTTTACTTTCCTACCACCGTTATGTAGCTTCCATGTGCCTTTTCTATAAGTACTTCCATGGTAATTGTTTTGGTGAACTTTCCACTATGGTACCTAGACTTTATGAATTTAAGCACAATACTAGATTGGCAACAAGGACTTATCATTTTACACTTGAATTGACAAGATGTAAGTTCTATGCTGACAGTTTCCTCTCTCACGGTTCTCGTTTTTTCCTTTAAAGGCTACTTTGATGTTCAAAAATGTAAATAGAATATACATCTTTAACTCCTGGCTTCTAATTGATTGGCCTCCATCACTTCTTACCTCTGGCCATACTAGACCATGTGGGGCCGAGATATGTTGCCTTTGACCGTCCTCTAGTTCTTTTCCACTGCCTTACTATCAACTTTCTAATAGTCCATCTGTTATCTTTAAGACAAGAGACTCGGCTAATCCATCTATGATTACCCTTCTTGATGTTCTCGATTATATCTTTCAATCATTGACTGAACGCCATCACTTCCTATCTCTGGTCAGATCGTAAAGATATATTGCCTTTCACCGTCCTCTTGTTCTTTTCCACTGCCTTAGTAACAACTTTCTAATAGTCCATCTTTAAGACAAGAGACTCGGCTAATCCATCTATGATTACCCTTCTTGATGATCTCGATTATATCTTTTACTCATTGACTGAACGCCATCACTTCCTATCTCTGGTCAGATCGTAAAGATATATTGCCTTTGACCGTCCTCTTGTTTTTTCCACTGCCTTAGTAACAACTTTCTAATAGTCCATCTTTAAGACAAGAGACTCGGCTAATCCATCTATGATTACCCTTCTTGATGATCTCGATTATATCTTTCACTCATTGACTGACCGCCATCACTTCCTATCTCTGTCTATACTGGACCATGTGGGGCCGAGGTATCCGGTCAGATCGTCGTGACGTCTTGCTTTTCGCCAACGTCTAGTTCTTTTCCACTGCCTTGGTGTCCATTCTATTCCTCTAATAGTCCACCTGTTGTCTCTGAGATGAGAGAAACGAGGCCAGGGGTATCTGTTTTTGTTCTTCTAGTTGGTCTCTGCCCTTCACTGCAGTCGGCTGTCGCATCGGTGTTGCTTTTCTTTAAGGTGGTACTGAGCATGCTTCACTCCATTTTTACGCCGCGTCACTTTTAATTGCAAGTTAATTGCTTGTAGTCAGATTATCGACAAGAATTTGTTCCGAGTGGTGAATGAAAGAATACCGAAGCAAATACTTTATTCTGAAATCCAAGAAGAATGTGCAGCCAAACAAAATCTTACAGGTACCAACTCAAGACTACCCTTCAAGAATTTGACATTCTATTGTCCAATTGCGATCCACCTTTCTTGGGATGAAATGATTACAGATAAAAAGAAGTCTTGGA